CTCTCCTACTAGCTCATCTTTTCCTCCAGGCTCCTTGTCAGCCTCACTGTCTCCACGAGGCCTGCTCTGAACACCTCCAAGGGCCAAGCATGTGGTGTTGGAACCACTTGGAGGCCAAGCCCACTGTGTTTATCTGAATGCAAGTCTGTCCCCCTCTGATGGGAACTCTTCAAGGACATGGGTCATGCCTGGAAGCCTTCCCAGCAGCCTCAGGAGCTCGGCATTCATGGGGTCCTACGGGGCGTCAATCTGGGGTTCATGCTTCCTATCCTCTGTTCCTCTAAATCTCCCCTTCATCTCCTGCCTGGTCAGGGCTCCTCAGTGCCCTGTTAGAGATAAGGAAACCCACCGCGCTTTCCTTCCCCGAGGCCTCGTCCTGTGCCAGGGGATGTGAATGGGCTTGACAATGACAGCGGCAGGCACAGCTGCGGGCCCGCGGGACTCCCTGCCCGTGTCCCCTGCCACAAGAACCTTCTCCCGGCCCCGCGGAGGCTCCTCTATAGGCCTGAAATATCTCTCCCCTCCCCACAACATTTCCCTTCCCTAGCTCTAGCCTCTCCTCCGGGAAGTCCTCCAGGAGTGCTCTGGTCCCCTACACCCTAGGGTCACTGGTCTTGTACACCCGAGACTACATTTTATTAACAGCTGTTATGTGTTGTGGCCCTAATATGGGCCACTTTTTAAATATATCATTATTCTTCTCAATAAGCCAGAGAGGATCATCTCACCCTCATCCACAGATGAGGAAATGGAAGCCCAGAGAGGTAAAGACGTTTCCCAGAGCCCCAGAGCTAGCAAGGAGCAGAGGGAGGACTTGGACCCTCGTTGGGCTGATTCCCGCAGGGCCTAAGTTTTCTTCCTCGTAGCTCTGGACACTCGGCCCATCTCCAACCATTTCTCAGCCAGAAAACCAGCTCTTTGCGAGCAGAGACATGTCCCATCGTTCTCTGGTGTCCGCCTGCCCCTCCCCATCCCTGCGCTTGGCCCCTTCCTAAGCCCAGGCGGTGTCTGCCTAATGTAGACAGTCTGAGCTCCGGGTTTGAGATCAGGAGGGGCACTGACCTCTAGAGGGGGTAGAAGCCTCCTAGTCTGGGCTGGAAGCTCCAGGGTGCCCATCCCACCTCTGCACCCCCTCCCCCATTAATTTGGCCCACCCTCCCCTGTGCCCTGGCCCTGACCCCTCCTGGTGAGGACTGAGCGCCTTTCAGCCCCAGCCACCACCACGAATGACCACCTTCTTGGGAGGGGCTGTTTTTCTACACTTTTGATCCTGAGGTGGAGGCCGGCTGCAGGTGTGGAGAGGTCCTGGGCCTGTGTGATGGGATGTCTCTGTGACGACCACATGCCCTGTGTCCTGGCCCCAGGTGTCCACAGGCTAACCGCAGGCTTCCAAGATGGAAGAGACCTCTGGGTGTAAACAGCCTGCGTAGCGGGCAGCACATGTGTGTGCCCGTGTGCGTCTGCACACATGCTCAGGTGTGCGCGCGTGTGTGGTCGCTGTGAATTCCCCACCTCAGACAAGGGCCTCTTTGTCTTCGCTGCTCTGACGCGCTGCCCCATCAGAAGGCCCCCGGTTGCTTATTTTTATAGGGTGTTCCAACTTTCTTTCTCCAGTTCCCTCTGTCCCACAGCAACTGTTCCAAGCCCCGACTTACCTCATTCTGCCGAAAGGAGGATGGCTGCTGGGGAACTAGCCCCTGGCTCTGAGGTGCTCTTACTTCAGTTTCCCGACTGGGAGTCTCCAGGAAGAGGTGGGGGGGGGGGGAGCCAAAGTAAATAGCATCGCTACAATGCTGAGACTATCACTGAGCCTGTTTCCTCATTCTTAATGCTTTATCTGTTCACCTCTTCAATTCCTGTGCCTCATTTTCCTCATCTGTAAAATGGGGATAATGATGGCATCTGACTCAGAGTTGTGAGGATGACATGAAAGATAAAGTCCCTAGAACTGTGTCTGGTACACAACGAGAGCTCATTAAATGTTAGTAATTGTTACCATCAAACATCTTTATTGAGCTTGTCTTCCCGGTGTACTCGTCTTCAGAGACCACTTTTTTCCAGATCACTCTCAGCATTTCCCCTGCCTTCTCCCATTGCTGTTCAGACTTCACAGGTCACTGAGTTGGAGAGGTCCGGGAAGCCCACAGACAGCAGAGGGCCCTTTTGCGCCCTGGGCCAGAGCGGTTGAAGGGTTGTAGTTCTCCTAGGAGGTTCAGCCCCTCCTCCCCACACCCTCCTCCCTTCCTCCTCTGACCCGCAAGTGTGCCCAGAGAAGCCCAAGGTCCGCTTTGTCTAAAGCGCCCTCTGCTGGCCATTGGCAAAAGACCTTGGGCAGGGGTGACCAGTTATGGTAGAGGGAGGGAGCTTTCCCAGTGTGAGGGGAAGGGGGTCTTCTGCCCTGTGCAGAGCCCACAGTGCTTCCTTCTAACCCCCCAAATTTCCGACCTGGAGAAGCCCTCCTTTTTTGCCAGCCTGAGAAGAGGTTCAGCGGAGAGCTTCCCTCTCCCCGTCAGAGAAGAATGCTAAGACCAAGATTATGGCACAGACAGCACTAGCCACCTGCCCCCATCACCCGGAACAGCAGTAGGAAGGAGACGAGACAGTAGGCAGAACTTCCTGACAGCAGAACATGAGGGCTTAGGAGGGTTCGTTCTTATTTAGAAGAAGGTCATGGGAGGGGGACCCCTGGAACCTGTGAGATCAGTAAGAAAATGAGTTATGGAGTTGTAAGCCCGGCACACTCAGAAGGTCGTGGCCCACAGCAGTCTCCTGTTGCTTATATTACAAGACCCCTCTCCTCCTCAGTCAAAGCCAGAGATAGATCCTCAGTCCATGTCCAAGTGCACTGACCAGACATTTGCTGTACCTCTGGGGAAGGAATTAAAAACAAAGACCCAAACCAAAACTCTAGTCGAAGCAGGAGAAACTGAACTTGGACTGTTGGAATGACTGTTGTGGGAGTGAGGCTGGGCGTCGTGTCTGGTGCAGGAAGGACGTCCATGGGGGTAGTCTGTAAACCAGAGACCACCTTCTCCCAAGGTAGACTAAGGGAGCCGGGAGCTCAGCAGCAGACGCCTCTGGATTTGGGGCTTTGGAGGGGGCTGATGGGTCTCCCAAGGGGAAGTGGCGGCATGAAATCGTAAGTAATTGTTTTATTACGTTTCAGGGGAAGCTGCTGTCGACGCAGATGACAGAGCAGCTAGTTCTCCGGGAAGGGCCAGCCTGTGGGTGGAGGCTTGGAGGGTACTCAGACTCCAGGCCAAGCTCCCCTGGCCTGAGTTGGCCAGGCCCTCTGAGATGCCCTGAGGAGGAATGGGGAATTCACCCCAGGCTCGTGCAAGTGTCTGGAGGATTAGGGCCAAGGCGAGGAGGTGGTGTGGGCAGGGGTGAAGCAGAGAAATGGGAGAGACGCAGAAGATAACAGATCAGATGGAAAGCTGTAGGAAAGGACAAGACGGTTCTGAGACAGAAGTCAGCGAAGACTCCCATTTCCAGATCCCCCTTTCCCACCCCACTTCCCCGGGTCCCCCCTCCCCAAGTTTGGCTTTTGGAAAGTTCCGGCAGTTTGGTGGTTTGGGGGAAGGGTGACTGATTCCAAATGGGTTGCTTTCTCCATACCCGCCCTTCTATTTCCCTGCTTCCCCTCAAGGACACACATTCTTTCTTGGGGCCCCTGCCCCAGCATAGAGGTCTGGGGGCCATGCCCTTGAGGAGGAAGTGTTTGGAAGGTGCTGAAGAAGGAACTGGTAGATGAAACGGGTGGGTGATGGGCTCTGGATGCTGAGGTGGACGGGTCTCTCCTGCTGCAGGGAGAGGCAAGGCTGATGGACCTGTCACAACACACCTTCGGTTTAACAGCTTAGGCTGGCTTCCTTCCTTCCTTTCCTCCCCTAATTGTCCAGGGTGCCCCTACCTGTGCATTAGAGTAACCCCTTTTCTGACCCTGAGCCCCCCAGGACACCAGCCCCACACCAGGTGGCTCACACGCACTCCCTTACAACCCCAGCCCCACACGCATGTGCGCACACACGCCCCTAGCCAGGTAGCCCCTGCGAAGACGGGGTGATGGGCCCAGAAGGGCACCTGAGCCTGCAGGGGGACAGACTTCCCATCTTAAGAGCTGGTGGCCCTGTGGCAGGAACCCTCTCTAGCCCTGAAGGAAATACACCCTCTGAATACACCCTTGGAGGAAGAGGCAGGACGCACAAGAAGGAATTGTGACCTTGGGAAAAAGCAGAGTGACCCAGAGACCTGCTTTGAGAGAAAACACCAGAGAACGTGGGTGACAGTGGAAGTGGGGGGGCAGGAGGAGCAGAGAGGGCCACCCCCCACACCTGGCCCATTCATGCACTCCCAGAAAGCACCCCCTGGGGGGCTCCCACCGTCCGCCAGGGCCTGCTGCCCTCAGACCCCAGAACAATCTTTCCACTTTCATGTCCTTCCCCCCTCACCTTGGTGACACACGCAGGGCCCGGTGAATAGAGGACGTTTAATATTTCTGTGCTGGTCAAACAGAACACAGGTGGGGAGTACATGGGGAGGGGGCGGAGGGCCCCCTGCCTCTCAGGAGGGGTGGCTTGTGAAGGGGTGTATGTGGGGGGTTCTTGGGAAATAGTTCAAGGAGTCTTCTCAGCAAAGGGGCCTGGCCTGGGGTATCATGAGCATCCAACACACCCAGTCCTTGGCCCAAGTTGGGGTCCCCCATAGGGGGTCTGTGGAGTCTTACGTTTTTGTTTTTTTCCCAGCTCCTCTGCTGGAATCCACACTCCCAGCGTGATGGGGGACTTGGTCCTTGCGAGGGGTCTGGAGAGCCCCCAGAAAGAAGCCCAGGGTGGGCACTAGGGCTTGAGGTCCACTGCCTGAGGACAGGGGAACCCCTTGGGGTGCTGAGGGCAGTGCACCTCCTTCCTTCCGCCCTCTTGCCTTCCTCCGGGCTGGCCAAGAGTAGAGTGGGGGTGAACAGGGCCCCCAGGCGGGGCGGGGGGGGGGGGTGTCAGGGAGGGGGGCGGAGGGAGGGTGAGGGAGGACTACAATGGGGGACCTGTAGGCTGGGGGTGACCCATGGGGTCACAGCAGCCACCTGCCCCTCAAGCCTGGTTTCAGCCCGGCCTCTCCTGGGACAGAGGCAGGATGCTTCTGGTGGCTCTGGCAGCCCCTCTGAGCCCAACTCCAGCCTCAAGGGCCACACAGCTCCTTTCAGCAGCTCCCCCTCCATTAGTACACCCAGCACAGACCCTGTCAGTAGGCCAGTGCTGGGCCTCTTCCTCTGTTGTGGGGGATGGCAGAAGCTGAGGAGCACCCCGTGAAGGGGGCAGAAGCCCAGCTCAGCTTGGTTTCTGTCTCAGGTCGAGGGCAGGGTCTCCGGCCGGGCAGCCTTGCTTCCACCGACCCCCACAGCGCACACAACTTCTCCTGCCCCAGCTGTGGCCTTGGAGTGGGCATAGCAGAGGCGGCCGGTTTCTTCTGGGGATGGTCTGAAACTTCAGCAACCCCCCCCCCACCCCGCCCGCAATGCCCTAGGCCAGGGCAGGGCGGGAGTTGGGGGGCAGCGGGGAGACTTCACAGTACGGAAAAGAAGGTGGAAGGGAGCACAAATTGGGAAAGTGGGGGGCCTCCGGCCAGAAAACACTGCCAGAGCCAGGTGCGAGGGGCCCTGGGTTTGAGAGGGGTGGCTTAGCCCCGCCTGCGGGTCTCCACGGCGCTGAGGGGCCCTGTAGGGGAAAGCTGGTGGGGGAGGAGGGCCCTGCTGCTGCTGGTGGTTGGGGGGAGGCGGTATTTGGATGGAGGGGAGGGTGAGGAAGGGTCTGGGCCCTCCGAGTCCTCTACCGGTCCCAGACCAAGGGTTCTGTGTCCCCCTCGGGGGCGGGACCGTCCCTGCCCCCGAGCGTCTGTCAGTCAGGTCACATGGGGAGTTGCTGGCCCAGCCCTCCCATCTGAGTCCTGGAAGTGCCTTGAGGTTTGGGCGGGGCTGAGGAGTGGGGGAAGGTGGGGCCTGGGTTCCGGAGGGAGGGGTCTCACCCCTGCCCAGCCTGCCCCTAGAGGCCCTTAGGACAGTTCCTCTCCTGGCAGTTCCTCCTCCAGGTCCCTGTCTTCTGGCGGCCCCGCGGTGCTGGGGTTGGGGGGACCCAGGGGAGGGCCCGGCCGCCTGTCTTCCTCTGCCTCGGCTGGCTCCTCTTTCACCTGCACCTGGTGGCTGTGAAGGGATTGTGTGGCCACCTCAGGGGCCTTCCCCTGCCCCTCAAACATCCAGAATTTGGGGGTGCAGTGGGGGTATTCCCAGGTCGCCTCCCCACGACCGCATCATCCCTGAGCCCCTGGGGCCTGATGTCTTCGGTCTGATCTCCACAGGAGCTCTCCTCTGAGGAAGGGGGAGGTTGGGAAGGACAGAGGTGGTCTCCGTAGGCAGGAGGGGAGATGAAACAGTAGAGAGGAGGAAGGAGAAGAGGAAGAAAGCTGCGGGAAGGAGGGGAATAAAAAGGGGGAAGAGGGAGGAGAATAAGAAGGGAGAGAGAGCGAGGTCACTTGTCCTGGGAAGACAGGTGTGTGTACGTGGGGGGTGTGTGTGTGTGATAAGATGGGGATCCCACCTGCAGGGGCATCTGGGGGGCACTGGGGTGTGGGCTCCATGCTGCATGCTCACCTGTACTGGGGTGGGGAGAGGCGAGGGGGGCTGCTGCTGCCGTTGCTGGGCAGTGGCTCCACGGGGGCACCCACGTCTTCGTGGCTGAGGGGCAGGAGGCTGCTGGCAGAGCCTGGGTTCAGCATGCCAGGGCTATTGAGGAGGGGGAAGCTGCTCTCGGCCAGGGCAGCCTGGAGGGCACAGGGTTGGTCCAGTGAGCCAGCTCCACTTGGCCCAGTGGGTCCCTGCCCCACCCCCAGCCAGCCTCCTGGAGTCTTTGTGCCCTGCCCTCTGGAGGCCAGATCATGACCCTGACCTGCTGCCTCCCAGCCTCCCTGGGAGCCTGGGCCTAACCGATCCCTTAGAGGGAGGGCAAAGAACCCCTCCCCCGCCAAGACTGGCAAACCAGGGAACAGGGCCCCACTGGTTATGCCAACCTCCCTCCTTGCTCTCTGCTGTGCCCGAACCCAGCCTTGACAGCGGAGGTGGGGGCTGAGCCCCGAGTGGGGCCGGGGCAGAGGGGTGGGATTCAGGTCACCCAGAGTGGTCTTCACCCTTCTGCCCCTCCTTGGACAGATGGGTTCTTGGAAGGGGAGAGTGGGGGAGGGTCAGCGTGTGGGGGGGGGCCGGACAGCCAGGGATCAAGGCCCAGGGAACACTCACCTGATAGCTGGCGTTAAGTGCTCCGTAACTGAGGCCCGAGATCATGTTCTTGACCAGGGTGGGGCTCCTGGAAGACAGAGAAGGCACTGTTTGGTTCCTTCACTCACTTATTCCCCCTTCGCAGTACAGCCGTGTGAGGCCCTGCTCATGCCAGGGACCATTCCATTCCTGAACCTAGGAGGCCAGAGTAGGGTCAGCACCACCTCTAAGTCCTATTCAAGCCTCAGGCTGATGGGGCGCAGCGTGGAGGGACAGCCCCCTTCACAGCTCCCAGGTCGAGGCTCCCTGGGGCTCTGGGGCAGGTGCAGTGTCTTGGAGCTGGCAAGGGGGAACACGGATCCTTTCCCATGCTGGTCTTCACATCATGCCACCCCAGCGGGGTTTCTCTGCTGTTTCTGGGGTCCAACAGGTCGAAGCTAGAGCCCGGATAGGCCCACATCTGTAATACCCACGTTATTTTGCCATCCTGAATTTAGGGACATCTAATAGCCATGTGCGCTGCTGGTCCCCGTGTGCTCCACACCAAAGACTTTTATGCCCGGGAATGTGTCCAGGAGTTGGGTCGGGTAAAGCAGTGGTTCAAGGCTGTCCCTCTACCATAATGATGAATCCCCTTTCCCCATTTACAGAGCATCTAAGAGAGGTCAAGGAACTGGCCCAAGGTCACACAGCCAGTGAGAAGCAGAGGTGCACGGGAAGCCAGAGTTTCTAGCTGGCATCTGTCCATGTCCCAACTCTGGCCACGGGTACTTTGGGTCTCTTTCTCTGATCCCAGGCCCCCAGGCTTCTTTCCTCAGTCAGAAATAGGGACAGATCACCTGCCCCTTCATGTCACTTCTGGATTCTGGACTCCCCTGCGCTCCTCCATCCCTCTTCTCCCCACTCCACCTCCAAAGGAGGAAGGACTGGGTACACAGGCGAGTCCTGGAGAGAATGGGGGAGGTGTCCCGGTCCATGCTGCAGGTGGGTGCCTCTGCTCAGGGCTGGGCCTACGTACCCTGTCATCTTTGGCGGCCTCCGCTTCTGATACTCGCGCTCGTCCACAGTCCACACAGCGCCCTTGACGTTCTCCACGCGCACGAAGCACTTGTGCAGGCTGAGGTTGTGTCGCACAGCGTTCTGGGGGTGCGATGATGGCACATGCTCAGAGGCAACCTGCTCGGGCCCCTTCCCTGCGCCGGCAAGCACAGGGGGATGTCCCCGCCCCACCGCAGCCCCACCACTTCCCACCTCCCCAGGCCCAGGGCCACACAGGCTGCCGAGGGGGAGAAGTCCCCCTGCCTCTCTCCTGCCCTTGACCCAGGGACTGCCAAGGTCTTCACTGCAGACAGCCCATTCTATGATTGGCTCCCCTTCTCCCTGCTGTGTTTCGGAAAACTCTGTCTACCAACTGAACACTACCCGGGTAGAAATCATGTTTTCCCAGCAGCACTGATCAGGCACACGCAGCTGTCACTCGGGACCCCTGGTCGCCGTGGCCTGTCAGTGAGCCTGGGGCCTGTTAGCTTAGGTGCATGTAGCATTCCCACGAGGCTTTACAAGTTTTGGAAATAAATCAGGAACCCTCGCTGCAACCTTCTTCAGCCTCTAGGAATGTGGGAGCCATGGCTTTGAGGATAGTTTAAGAGCAGGAGGCATACAGGCCTCACATACATACTTGTTGAAATAAACTGGGAGAAAGAAGAGCATGGATTTGGTAGCTGCGAGGCAGAGAGAGGAGAGAAAAGAGGAAAAGTCACGTTGTCGCTCCTACCTCCTCCTGGCGGGGTGACTTCAGGAATTGAGGCCATCTGAATTGTAGGACACTTGGGTGGGGGGGGGTCGCTTGACCCAAAGCTCCCCCCCCCGGGGGGGGGCCTAGATGAGGGCCCGAGCCCACTCACTCCATGTCCCTCAGTTCTGTCCCTGTACTCTCCTCAGCTTCACCACCGCTCCCCACCCATCCCTGTCCCTGTTACCTGTCCTCCCTCAGCCTCCCCCACTGCCTTGTCCCCATCCTTGTCTCCTCTTTACATTTCTAAACGGGGAAGAAAGCCGGCAGGGCGGGCAGCCCATGCCCCTGGAGATCCCCTCTCCCTCTCTCCCTTCCAACTCTTGCCACTTGCAACTGGCCCGATTTCATTACCAATTTTAATTTGCCTCTAATTAAATCCTGTGTATTTTTCCGACTCGCTTGCTAATCCACGAGGGAGGCGGGCGGCTGGAGTGGAATCTCTTGGAGCGATAATTACAAAGGGCCTAATCACGCCGGGGCTCCTGCCTCGGAATAAATTTGCCCGCATTACGGGGCTCCGATCCTCCGCTTTGCAAATGAGAATGACCCCAATTTCCGAGGATGGCCTCACCGGGGCTTTTTTCCCTCATTTCGAAGCCTGATTCGTGATGAGAGACTAATTCGTTACGCTGAAACATTAACGGCAATTTAAGGGGTCTGGCGGGGGCTGCGTAAACAAAAGGACGGGCCCACAACATGGGCCCTGGGAGGGGATGGACACAGGGGGAGGGCTGGGGGGGACCATCAGCTTGGCAGATGGCAGCTCTGTCCCCGGATGAACGGCAGCTGGCCTGGCCCATGCTGGCTCCCGACCCTTCTGCCCTGAAGTGGACAGCATCTCGGGGTGGGGGCCAGAGAGAGTGAAAGAGGGAGAATGGAAGAGGAGGAGTTGAGGAGAAGAGGGACTTCAAGGGGCAGATATATGGGTGGCTGGTAGAAGTCGAACAGTTAGGTGTAGACAGGGTACATTTCCCCAGGAACATGAATGAAGCTTGGCTGCAAAAGTCCTGAAGGTCAAAGTGGACCTCAAGCTAAGAGAGATTCTGCTGTGCCACAGGGAGGGGAGGACACAGGCAGTGCCTGAAGTGGAAGAAACAGCAGCTGAGCACTGTTCACTAGACAGGTCGCCTGCTTGTTCAGCTGGTGTTGCGCTGGGACCTATATGAGGCGACGGGATGAGGAGGTGAAGACCCCGGGGGTGCGAGACCACTGGGATGATCCTGGCTGGGCGACCATGGAAGGGGGCATGGAAGGCCTAAAGGAGCTCGGCTAAATGGGAGGGGTTTCAAGACAGTCCTCGAGGGGTTTAAGGAAGTCACCCAAACCAGCTTCTCCTGATCCCGGAGAAAGGAGAGAACAGGAAAGGAGGGTAGGGGGGTGAAGGACACTGTGCCCCTGAGCTGTCTAATGGAAATGAGGTTCTCTACTCTCACCCCTACAGGTAAAGGATTAACCTGCATTATGAACATAAACATTAGATAACAATCATTAACGACCCTTTATGTCTGTATAGGACTCTATCTTCTAAAACCTGATATCCAAACTGTCCCAGAGGCTGGAGACTGGACCTGGTGGTCCCAACAAGGCCCTGCCAGCTCAGGGAGAGGGCAGGACTGTGGTTGGCAGGAAATGACATCACTCAGAGCCAATCAGAGCTGCCGTCCCAACCTCCAAGCCTCTTTCCCCAGCTTTGAGAATTGGGTGCGCAGGGATATGGAAGGTCACGGAGCAGTCTCTCCTGCTGCGGTTAGCACGTTTTGGGGTTAGAGGAGACTGGGCCCTATGCAGACCCCACCCAGTTGGGCAGTGGTGGGGAGGGGGCCTCGGTGACACTTGTTGAAAGCTGGTCGCTGGTGGCGAGGTAGCCTGTTTGGCTGCAGCTTCTGAGCTAGCCAGCAGGGGGACTCAAGAGCCAGGGATCTAATTAAGCTTGTGAGCTAAGGATTCCTTCCAGCCTCTAACCTTCCCCGCAGGGCGCCAACGCTCCCTTCTCCTTCCCTCCACCCCCTCCCAATTTAGATATCACTTTCCACTCTGCTGCACAGACACTAATATTCTCACCCATCAGACAGACAGACAGACAAACACACACCCCTCCCATCTTGGCTATGGGAAAATGAATGGCTGAGTGCCCCAGTCCACATCTCGGTGTCCCATTTTTTAGGGTCCCTTCCTTCCCTGCCTCCAGTCCCCTGAGAAAACTCTATGGCCGAAGGTGCTGAAATGACTAATTGGATGGAGACAATTAACTTCCTGCTGCCATGGCAGAGCTGGGGAGAGTACAGGGGTGCCTGTGGTTATGTCTCGGCACGCAGTCCACAGGTCTCGTTCGGCTGTCCCTGTGTCTGTGCCTGCACATGGCCCACCCCACCCCTGGCTCCAGAACAGGCAACTTTAGCCAAGGTACCCAGACCCTTAGGGTCTCTGGAGAGTGTCACCCCAAGCCTCCCTAACAGGCTGGGGCACTACTAACTCCTGGAGGCCCTACTTTGTGGGGCCTATGGGGGGGCACTCCAGGGAAGAGGAGGATTTCTTGCCAGAAAGCAGGCAGCACAAGGCTGGAAAGAAGGGGCTATTAAGGGGCAGTTAGAGAACATTCCATAGCCCACGCTGAGGTGGGGGTGCAGGGACCTATGGTGTGGCCCAGGCCCAGCTGGGGCCATTTCTGCAGAACTAAACCTCTGAGGGGATGAAATGTGATGTGGCCTTGGTGTCAAGGGGATGAGGGGAGCATGCCTCACCTTCCAGGTGGCAGTGTTTCTCCGGAAATAGGCGAACATTCTGGTGAACCAGTTATAGATCTCATTCAGGGTCAGTTGCCTGTCGGGGGTTTCCAGAATGGCCTGTGGGCCAAAGAGAAGCAGAGGGACCCTCAGTCTGAGCCTTCAAGGGTCACAGGCCTGTGCTCTCTCCCTCCTGCCTGGCCCAACTCCCACCCTGAGAACAGAGGACGCCCGCTACAGAGGCTTGTGGACAGGACTGGTGGGTGTCGTCCATCCCCTGAGTGGGGCAGGCTGCTTCCGGGCTAGGAAACATGAGCTGTGAGGGCTATGCATTTGTGCAAGGAGCACATGAATTCCTTCTGGAGGGCAACTGGTGTCAAGTGCCCCCACTCTGCAATGAAAATGAAGTAGTATTCTTGGGAGAGAGAGAGCCACCGGGTGGGGGCTGTTTACAATTTATCCTGATTTTGGCAAAGGGCTCCCTAAGCATGAGGTGGGGGGTGTGTGCATGTATGAGGGTACCTGTGAGGATGCGTGTGCCTGCTGGGGGGGGGTCACAGCAAGAGGACATCTGTGCAAATGTCTATTCATAAGAATATTACGTGAGCATCAAGGACGTGAGTGAACAGAGGGGTGTGTGTGTGTGTGTATGTGACAGAGAGAGAGGGGGCTGGTGGGGAAGGAGGGAGGGAGAGGCAGGCAGGCAGGTGCAACCAACTGAGTGACCCTGAGTCCACCAGAAAACAGTCTCCTAGAAGCGTGTGCACATGGGAATGAGAGAATGAACAGCACAGGGGGTGGAAGCAGCAAAAACCCAAAGAGACGCCCACACGAGCGGCACAGACTCAGATGGAGCCTGGGTGAGAGGCCGTACAGCCAGCAAGAAGCCCGAGAGAGAGAGGACAGGTGCAGGAGGGGCTATCTCCTCTGGCCCCAGGACTCTCATGGAGGCTGAGACTCCGAGATGGGGGTTCAGCCTGGGTGCCCCCCCATCTACTTCCATGCTCACCTGACGGATGAGGGAGGCGTAGGTGAAGGGGGGCCTGACATCGGCGTTCTTGTAGAACTCATGATTCTGGGCCAGCTCTGGGGAAGAGAGGCAGAGGGTGGGGTAGCCAGATGGGGGATCCAGCTCGGGGGGAAATGACCCTCCTGGCAGTCCTTACCTGAGGAGATGGGGGAGCAGAACTTGTCACTGCTCCTCCGGCGGGTGGGGCCCCCGCTGTGCAGGGAGGCAGAGCTGAGGCCTGGGGGCCGTAGAGGGGTTACGGGGGCAGCAGCCGAGGTCGGGGGGTGCACGAGACCATCTGGGAACGAGTCTGCTGCGGAGACGGTCACCTTGGAGAATGAGGAGGAGCTGGGGACTGGGTTCAGCTGTGAGCAATGGGGAGGGTGCTGAGCCCAGTGCCCAGGGTGGGGGTGCCAGGGGTCCTCGGAGGGTCGCAGGGAGGGGAGAGTCACTTACGGGCTGGTTGAAGGGCTTGGGCTCAGAGGGCCGCATGTGCAGGTGGGCCATCATGGCCTGCAGCCTCTCGCTCTCCTTGGCGAGCTGTGGAGAGGGGGGAGGTGAGCCAGGGCTGAGCCCCCAAGGGGTCCAGTCCTCTTCCTCCTCCACATCCCACCTCTTCCCAACCAGACACCCGAGAAAACCCCTCTCCCACCACTCCTCTCCTTCACATGTCAGCCTCTGGCTCCCACTGTCCCCTGCTCCTAGAAGGCCTTGGCTCTGCTCTGTCCCCTGCTACCTCGAGGCCAGGGCCTGGGGCTGCCGGCCCGATGAAGGCCTCGCCACTTCTCCTCCAGACCATGAGTCCCAGGCTCAAGCTACAGGTCAGGGGCCCCCTCGCTAACAACACATGCTTTTTCTCCTCCTCCAAGGCAGAGGCTGTGGTTGAACAACACCCAAGTTCAGTGGCACTTGTGTGTGAGAGGGGCCTCGCCACCATGAATGGAAACACAGGAATGGATGAATGATTCATTCACCCCCATTCATAAATTCAATAGGTCTTTCACAACTACCCTCTCAGGGCAGGGCGCTCTGCTAGGTGCCAGAGGGAAATGGGTAAATGTCCCTCACTCTGCCTGCTGGACTGTCCTGAGTACTACAGGGTGTAGACTCGGGGGCCAGACCGCCACGCTTCTGACCCCGACTCGGCCACCCGCTGGGGTGAGTGACCAGAGCAACAAGTCACTTCACCTCTCTGGGCCTCAGTTTTCCATATCTCTAAAGTGGGGATGAGAATAGCAGCCGTATACGGCTGTTTAGAGGATTCCCGGAGTTCTACAGGTAATGTGTTTAAGTCAGCACCAAGTAAGGGCTCCACATGTTAGCTGTCAGCACTTTTATGGTTTTTACACGGACGCTGCTCTTCTGGGACTCCCAGCAGATACACCGCAAACCACCCCCCCTCGGCTTGCTCCTGAGACTCTAACTACAATCACCTCATGGCCTTGGCACTTAGGAGCAAGAAAGCTTAAGATGACCCCTGTCCGCAAGGCCCTCTAAAGCCCTCCTGGGATGTCAGTGCTGAGGGTGGGGCCGGGCCTGGCGTCCCCCGCACCGACCCCCGCCCAGCCCGCCACTGAGCATCCTCAGAGCTGCACCTGGATCTCCAGCTGCTGGACCACCTGCATCTGCACCCGGCACTGGGCTGTGCTCCGGTCATCCAGGGCATGCTCTGTGTTGAGGTGTCTTTGGGGCAGGAGGGGGCAGAGAAGACACAGTTGGCCCTGCTTTGCCTGTGGCCACCACCCTCCCATCCCGTGCTCCCAGCCCGCCCACGGCCTGGAAAGCAGACAGACCAAGAGATACAAAGGGAAAGAGGTGGGAATAAAAAAAAAACAAAACAAAAACGGGGCAACAGGGCAACCAAGGAAGCCGCCTTCTCGTCAGCCTCCTTTGATGTCTTTGCTAAAATCCCAGCTACAGAGAGATCTAATTGCAAATGAACTAATTAAGTAAACCTCTGACGAAGCGTGAAAACAATTTGTTTGACCCTGATGCTGCAAGGGTCTGGGAGACAGCGGAGTTAATCAGTCAGTGACAGAGCCTGGCACGGCAGTGGCAGCTGGTTGCCTCCCACCCTGCCTGTCCACCAGCCTTCCGGCCTGTCACTAGGCTGTCAGTCTCTTGGGCTGAGTCTGGGGGAAGCAGGGAAGGGCTACGGGGGGAGGGGGGGTCGCCCTCGCCCTCTCCTGCTCCTCACACCCCCGCACTGAGGGGCTCTGAGAGCCTGGGTATGGGGTTTACTGAGGCTGCGGGCCCCTGCAAATATAGATGGAGGGCTGGGGATCAGGGAGCTGGTGGGGGCAGGGAAGGAGCTAGGCTAGGCGCCCTGGAGGGGAGGACAGCAGGACAGCTGGTGGCTAAGGTCCAAAGAAGGGCAAGCTAGGTGGCCGGCTGGGGGGCGGGATGAAGGGCCCTGTGGAAAGTCTGCTGTTGGGGGGGGGGGGATGGAGGGTTGCGGTGACACCTACTTGATAAACTGGCCCAGGTCTTCACACAGGGTCTCACAGCCTGGCCACTTACACTCTCCGTGTCCATAGAGGGGGTGGGAGCCTGGCGTCTCCTCGTGGGAGGAGCTAGGAGAGCAAGAGAGAGGCAGCAGTCAGGGACCCTGGAGACCCCAACGGCCCTGGGTCCAGCTCGGCCAGGCCCCCCTGCTGGTGAAATTTCTGTCCCTCACATGGGTTTCCCAGAGGCTGAGAACAATGCTGTGTGCCCTGGGAGAAGGGTAAACTTCCGGGTCCACGAGCTCCGCCTCCCCCCTCCCTGTCCCTCACCCAGGGGTGCCATCTCTCAGGGAGCAGGGCTGCCGCCAGGCAGGTGTGCAGCGCCCTCTTCCGGCCTGGGCCCCGCACCTGTCTCTCCGAGGTGTGAGCACAGTGGGCTGTCCGTTGGGCAGGGTGTGGTGGGAGAGGGAGGGTGAGACTTTGGGGGGGGCGGCAAACGAGGTAGCGGTGGTGGCTGAGCCGGTGAGGTCCAGCCCCTCCTGCTTGACGCTGTCCTCGGCGGGCTGCCCGGGGGCACCCTCGCCCTTCCACAGCTGGGGCAGGTCCGTCGGGCACACGGCTGCTGCGGGAGAGAGAGGTGGGAAGGCTGGCAGGGCCCCAGGCGCCCATGGAATGGGGTGGGTGGGGAGGTCTGGGCTGGGGGGCACTCACCTTGCGGGAGGGTCTGGAGGGGCCCTGAGGCTTGACCGGGCTGCAGGCTGACCAGCCCCTGTCTCTGCAGGTTGAGCAGATGCTGCTGCTGCAACTGTTGCATTTGCAGGAGCTGCTGCTGGAAGGCCAGCTGCTTGTTCCCCAGGGCCTGGTGGGGGGCCCGAGAGGGCGGGCCGAGAGGGGTACCATCAGCCTCGGGCACGCCCTCCGGCCCCCACCCCGCGGCCACCCCCTCCCAGGGCCTCTCAGCCCCTGGAGCTGTCGTAGTGGCGTCCGCCGCTGCAGCCTCTCTGCTCCCGGCCCAGCTTCCATAGGGCTGCATGCCTCCTCGCAGTAAACACACGCACGCACGCACCACGCACGCAGGCGCGCAAACACACACAGCAGACCCAGACGCTCAGCACGACGCCCTCCCTGCTCCCGCCCCCCTCTTTCCGCCTCGGCTCCCCGCGCCGCAGCTGTGCTCGCCTGGAAAAGGGGGGGGGGCTCTCATCACAATGATCGATGAGCTTGTCAGGCTCCAGGGGCCACTCCCGCCTGACGGGCACCCTTCCCACATGCGCGGGTGCCCCCCTCCTGTGCCGAGGAGGGGGCCTACCCCCTCCAGCTCCTCTCTCCTGCTTCTTAGATACAGGGAATCAAAGAGTCTGACGGGACTTTAAAAGATCCGCATCAGCTGGTCATCGGGACACAGGCCTGGGGAAGAGTCGCATCTCTACTGCTCAGGCGCACACTTGCTCGCTTGCTCACTGTAGGTCTGGAGCTCCATCTCTCCCTCTCTGTCTCCTGCCCCCGCTCCCCCTCCCCCAGCCTCCCAGCCAGTCAGTTCTTCACACAGGCACCGACAAGTCAGCCCATCAGCAGGTCTTTGCTGAGCCCCAGGAGCCAAGCTTGTGCTGGGTGCCTGGGAGGCAGGGACGTCTCTGCCTGGCCCCCTGCCCTGGGGGGGCAGTGGGGGGCTAGCTATTCAGTAAAGCCAGCCTAGAGAAAATGCAGGGAAGGCAACAAGGATGAGACCTTGAGGGGGAGGCTGAGGGCACTGGGAAATGACTGGGAGTCAGCAGGGCAGCCTTCTGGGAAGAAGCCACCCAGGACTTGGCTGTGGTTAGGCCAGCAGGAGGGAGGCACATGTCTGGGACATGGAGGGGGAGCTCAGGTGCCTGGTATGGAAGCTCAGGGGGCACAGTGGCTCAGGCGAGGCCGGGGAATTCTCTGGAGGGGAAGGGCCTGATATTACAAGAAGTGGCAGAGGTTGGGGCAGGGTTGGGGGGAGCAGCGCAAGGGGTTTACTGAGGGACCAGAACCCGGGGGTGGGGGAGGGTGTGTGGCGGGCTGAGGTGCTAAGTCACTAAGAGACAAGTGGGTAGGAAAGGACCTGACAACAAGGCAGCTGGTCATGAGCAAGGGACACCGGAGGCCCGTCCTCACTAATCCGACAACATGAGGCAAGGACGGAGTGGGGACGTGGGCAGCTGGAGAACTGTGCACCCCCAGTTCCCATTCCCCCCTGCCCCATAATTCCCTCCCAGCGCTTCCTGATCTGTCTCCTATGCCCACAAGGCAGTTCTCTCCTGGCCACTGTGGGGCTCCCAGCCTCTGGCCAGGAGGGGCCCGGGGCAGCGGTCCTTTGAGGGGGCACGTCAGGCCCCTTACCTCTTTGGGTTGCTGCTTCCCAGCCTGCTGTTGGGTGAGAAGCTGTAAGTGAAGCTGTTCTTGCTGCTTCTTGTAGTACTCCTGCAGCTGGGTGGGAGGTGGAGGGGGGCAGGGGTGCGAGTGGGTTACCACGGGCCGGGGACTGCGGACCCCAGAACAGCCCTGGCCCTGTTGTGACGGGGCTCCTGGAGGCAGAAGTAGGGAGTCTCACTGGGGTGGTGAAAGAGACACCCCGTGGGGAGATGCCCGCTCTCCTCAGTCTGCTCTGAGGGTCCCCAGCAGGGCCTGGGTGGGGAGGGAGCGGAGCAGGGATGGGGGCCGGGGGGGCTTCACCCCACAGCTGTGAGCACCCCTGCCTCTTTGTGGGTCTCCTGAATCCATCACAGCGAGATGCCGGGATGTTCCAGTACTCTGCCCTTCCCTGGGGTTCTGGATACAGAGGTGGGCGGGTGAGACGGGGAGCATGGGGGTGCCTGACCCCTGACCTCTCCCCAGCTGCCCTGGAGGAATGCAGATCCATCCAGCCTGAGCGGTCTCTCTGGTTTCTTCCCCGGCTTTGGCCAGCAGTGATGTTGGCAGTAAACAGGGTGCGAGATGGGAGGCTGTAGAGCCTCCACCACCCCACCCTCCTCTCTCCCACCTCCCAGCTGCCCTGGGGCCAGACTCACCTGCTGTAGCATGAGTGCCTGTTGCTGCTGGAGCAAGGCCTGCAGCTGTGGGGGCGACAGGATCTGCTGCATCTGTTGGGGGGTAAGCATCTGCGGCGACATCATGGCCACCGACACAGGCACCTGTGGGATTGGGCCCCATTAGCCTGCTCCTCTCACTCCCACCCACAGTGTGGCCATGAGGACTGGAGGGAGACCGCTGGGTTCAAATTCTGGCTCTGCCACCTACGGGCTGTGTGTCTTTGGACAAGTGATTTACCTCCCTGTTCTCCATTCCCTTGTCTCTGAAGGGCAAGTAAAAACAGTGCCCACTTCTTAAGGCTCTCATGAAGATTAGTGAGCTGAAATTTCAAACAGAACCCGGCATACAGCAGGTGCCCGGGAAGCGGGGTGCTGTTATCGCAGGAGGCACTATGTCCAGTGACACCAGTCGTAGAAACCATATCCATGCTTGGCAGGCTTTCTCCCTTAGGGATGGGGATGGGCAACACCTAGCCATTCCCAGTTCTAGCTCGGTATATGTTCAGAGAGCGTGATGTCCTCGGTGGGCCTGGCCGGAGAGCAGTCTGCGGTCCCCATGGCATGAGGACCTGGATTCTGGTTCCGATCGCACACACATCACATACCCTGGCATGGCCATCGGCAGGGCACACACATAGCCAGAGCTGACCCAGGGAGGGCCTGCCACAGCGTACTGTACGTAGGTGTTGTCAAGTCAAAGTGGGCTGGAAAGAATACCAAGCAGGAAGCCAGGACGTGGGCTGCTACTTCTAGCTCTGGGAGGAATTTGCTGTGTGCCCTCCAGGCAAGTCACTTGCAGCCACTTCTGGGGTGTTAGTTTCCTCAAACGCTAAACCGGGAACTGAACCAGTGGAGATGACGCCTTCCAGCAGGAACAGGCAGGATTCTCAGAGTAGAGGAGCTCTCCATGCCCTGCCCTGGCTTAGGCCTCTGGAGGAGGCTCAGAGAACCTAGCCACCAGCTAACAGGTTCCTGGAAAAGCACTAACATCATTGTTTTCTCCGCTCCACCTTCCTGAAATCCCCAGGCTTTGGGGTAGTCATCGCCAGGGAGGCCCAAGTGGCAAGGCTGTCTTGTCCCACTGTTCTGGTAGGACGGGTGCCCTGATAGGGCTCAGAGCCCAGTTGGTCTCATCTCCCCTCCTGCTGCCAAGCTCTCGAAGCACCCCGTCCCTACCCCCAACCATTTCCCACACACAGCAGGCACTCACTGAGCGTTTACTCCCCTGAACTGAAAAACCTACCCCAGCAGTTCAGAGGCCCCTTTGGCAGCCCAAGGGTGGGGAGGGAGGGGTCCTGGCGGCCCAGGTAGGGAGTATCCTGCTGGACTTGTCTGGGCAGGATGTGACAGGTTATATCCTCAAGGGACTGGTGACCCCTGTCACCTCCCCCAACCCCAGCCTCACGGGTAGGGCAGGGGAGGAGGAGCTGGGGGAGGGGGAGAAGGACTCAGCCTCAAACCACCAATTAGGGAATCCCCAGGAAGAGGAGTGGCACAGGAGGTGTAGTGGGTCCAGGAACTTGGGGGAAGTCCCAGGGCTCCCAATTCTTCTTACACCTCACCCCAATAACTTGTGGCTGAGCCCCAGCCCTGGGCTCTTCTTTATCTCAGCCATCTCTGTGCCTACAGCCCTGGCAGGGACACACCCTGGCTCTTTAGCGGGGAATGCTGTGTGTGAAGGAAGGCCCCCGGGGCCTCTATAGAGGAGCCTTAAGTGGCAGGGTTGGGATTCAAGCCCGGGTCTGTGAACTCCATGGCTCCTGGTGTTTCCCTGTGTCCACACTGATTTCCCTACCTCGGAGCAGATACTGAGGAAGGTTAGGAAGTGTGGGTGGAAACTGAATTATCCAGGGAGTGGAGGGGTCGAGGAGGCTGGAGAGCCAAAGGCTAACTTCCCTTTTTACAACTGTACCTGGAGGAGACCCTAGAAAGCCAGGCCATGGGGGTCTTCTGGTCCTCACTCTTGGAGGGGCCTGAGTGAGGGGGCAGACAGTGGCACAGACCCACACCCTTTGCGGAGGCAGCCTGTATCCCTTGCTGGGTGCCCTTGAGGCTGGGAGGCCGCTCAGCCGTCCTTTTCTTTTCTCCTCCTTCAGGGGTGCCCACCATGGTGGCAGGGAGCTCAGAGTCCTGGATTTCTGAGTCAGGTGACCTAGGCTCTTGTTCCTGAGGCTAACTATTCTTTGAAATCACCTCACCTCACGTTTTCCACCCAGACTGCTAATTGCTAATTAGGTGCCTTTAGGCACTCTGCTAAATCTTCACAGCAAATGGGGAGGGGTGTAGGGTGTCTAATCATCATTACCATTTTACAGATGAGAAAACTGAGACCTAGAGAACTTAAATAACCTGACCTGTCCCCAAAGGGACAGTGGGAATAGGGGCAAGTGAAAGTTATTTGCAGCCCATTAAATTCTAAGCAAATGTAGAGAAAACTACTTTGTAAAACATTTGGGTTTTCCTCTTCTCCTCCTTTCACTCTCCTTTCTCCATGACTTCTCCAACCCCAGAAGGCACCACATGGCCAGGGCCTGACCTTCTCATCCTGGGAGGACTGAACTGGAGATGGACATGGCCCAGGCAGGGAGACAGCCCAGACACTACAGGGCTGTGAGTCACGGTGAGTGGCATACAAGAAAGGATGTGGCATTTCCTTCCTTGGGGCTTTCCTACTTGGATGCAGGGGAATGGAAGAGATGACCTTGGAAGGCCTCCCCAGCCCCCGCCGTCCCTGCCAATTGGCCGAACAGCTGGCCGCACAGCTGGCCGGAGAAGCGGCTGCGGAGACGCCTGGATTGCCTTGTGTGTACTAGTCTGCCGGGGCCCAGGGGGTCAAGAGAGGTCAGGGAGAGGGCTGCCGAGTGCTTGCTGAACTCCTGGGCTGGCTGACACCATCCCTCCACACCCCTCAGGGTTCTGAGGACAGAGCTGGAGCTCCCCTGGTGTCCCCGCTGACCCCTCGCTAGGCTGGGATGGGTCAGGATAGACACTGTCAGCTTGTCAGCTCAGCAAGGCCCATGAGTCACTGTCTGGAGAGTGGCCAGGGTGGCTAAATGCTTACTAAAGGCCTGGCAGTGTGAGCCGTGGGCTAAATGCCCACAGCTGCCTCCAGCCCCTCCCGCAGGGCCACGGCCCAGGCCCCTGGGTCCTCTCCACCCACAGTATGTACAGTGTGCTGGGCTGGCTGGCGGCTTACAGAGAGGATGCTTGTCCGTGGGGAGGCTGAGCACCCTAAGGATGCAATTTGGTGTAAGAATCAAGGACCCAAACTCAACCCCTCAAGTGTGGTCTAGGGTCACTGGCGCAAGTGGGGACACCAGGCCGAAGCTTGGTTTAGGTTAAACTCCCTTGCAGATGACCAGAAGGAAGTCCCCGGACTAGTTCTGGGCTGGGGCTGCAGCAAGGAAGAAGCGGTGGGGCACCAAGATGAATTTCCAGAAATTCTGGAAGGGTCAGCCCCAGGGGCAATGACAAGCTGCATGGAGGCTGGGCAGAGCTAAGGGGCCTGGCCCTAGCCGCCATCCCCTCTGCACCCCAAAACTCCCAGCTAACTTTGCTGCCTTCTGTAACTGACTTCTCCCTGCCTGGGGCCCAGGCCTGGGCACAAACTAGGCCATCTCCAGGCTGGAGCTGGAGACTAACATGGTTCTAGAAACTTCAGAAGCTGGCTCCGGGAGGGGGGAGGTGAGGTAGCCTATCCTGCCTCGCCCTGGGGAGCAGAGCCTTGTCATGTGGGGGCCACCGGAAACGGGTGGCCATCTATCTTTTTTCATTGACCACTTCACTCACAGAGAAGTTATTTGAAGGCCCTGGGCCCCACTCAGGGACAGAAGCTTCACCTCCTTAGAAACTGTGAACTTAAGGATGGGAATGAGAGGCAAGGAAGGTGTCCAGGTTGGAAGAGGGTCCACAGCTGGATCTCCAGGCTCCTGGGGAAGTTCAGACATGGCCCATGAACCCCATCTCCCTGAACCCAGAGACTCATCTGGCTGGGACTCTGCACCTGGGGACTGCTGGCGTTCACTGCTGTGCTGAGCACACATGACATCACAGCGCAGACATTCAAGTCTAAATTCTGGGGCCAGTTGTTTGGGGTCATATCCCGGCTCTGTCCCTTATTAGCTGTGTGACTCTGGACAAGTGACTCAACCTATCTGGGCCAAGGTCTCCTTATCTGCTCATAACAGCATCTCTAGACCCCACAGGATTGTGAGGACAAAGGGAGACAAATGACACATGGAAAGCACTTAGTGTCTGCCCCATGGTCAGCAGTCTGTAAATGCTGTTAGTTTCATTAGTCCTGAGCAAGTATTTGACGAATGGATGAATCAGTCAATGATTTGGAGGAGGAGGCAAGGAGAGAGGAGGGCTGAGAAAAGGATCATTTGCTCTGTCTCTCTGACCAAACCTCCACCTCTTACTCTAAGCCATTCCAGGGCTGCTCTTGTGTTGGGGAAGGGGCTCTCCTGAGGCAGATTCCATTAGCCTCCCTTCCCCTCTCAGTTATTTCAGATCTCCTATCCCTCATAGCCAGCCGTAAAGTCCTTTTTTAAAAAAAATTTATTTATTTATTTGACAGAGAGACACAGCGAGAGAGGAAATACAAACAGGGGAGTAGGAGAAGGAAAAGCAGGCTCCCTGCTGAGCAGGGAGCCCGATGCGGGGGCTCGATCCCAGGACCTTGAGATCATGCATGACCTGAGCCAAAGGCAGATGCTCAACAACTGAGCCACCCAGGTGCCCCTGTAATAAAGTCCTTCTTGATGCCTGACCTCAGTCCCTCCAACTACCATCAAGCTCCTTCCCTCCTGCCTTGGGTCAGCAGGCCCTCTCTGGCTAGGGGAACATTCCTGTTACCCCATCCCACCCCTCCCTGTTCTTAGAAGAGGGTGTGAGGCCCGGCCCAGGGTGAGGACGACTCAGAGCAGTAGCCATTTCAGACCCGGGGAAATATGTGTGTGTGTTGGGGGTGGGGGGCGTTGGGAGACCCCTAATTCAAAGGGGCCCAGTCCTGACACGATATGGGTATGAGAACCTTCTATATCATTCTGGTGTGAGAACTTTCTCTTCTTCCCATTATTTACCTTCCAGATCTGTTCTCACCTCCCCACCCAGACCACCACCTATCCTGGCCCAACTCCTCCCTCTTGAGGGCTGTCTCATTAGGTTCAAGACTTCTAAAAGAGGACCACTGCTCAGGCCCCACACCCGTCGGCCACCTTGAACTTGTTCAAACCATTTTCCAAACATAAGCTTGTATGACATAAGACTCAGATACTCCTCAGAGCCCTGGAATCCCCATCCTGGGACAAAGCCTTGTCCTGGGTCCATCTCCTCCCTGCTGTCCTCACTTCCCTCCTTCCTTCCCCACCCCACCCCCACAAACTCCAGAGCTCCTAGCTCAGGGTCGTGCTTACCCTTCCTCCCCTAGATAAACTTCCTTTCAAAGCCTGGCTTAATCCTCTCCCCAATTCCGAGCCTCCCCTGCTGCTGTGGGGAAAGGGGGGAGGTGGAGGATCGAGGAAGCAAGGCTGCAGGGCCCAGGGGGAGGGGAACTGGCTGCCCGAATCGTGACCCACCCGACTCAGACCGCAATTCTCCCAAGTTCTTTGTGACACAAAAGGTAAACAGAAGGCCGGCTTCCCCCCAACCCCCCACGTCCCACAGACCTCCCCTCCCCCAGTCAGCCAGATGGGCCGGCAAGCTGGGGGAAGGGAAAGGGGGAAAAAAGGGCAGATTGTGCAAAGGAAAACAAAAGAGACAGAGAGACACCGAGAGACAGGAAACTGGGGGAGAGAGAGCGAGCTGGTGGGTGAGAGATGGGGAGGAGGCACGTGGTGACCTCAGCAGCTAAGAGAGCCAGGGAGAGAGGGGCAGGCCAAGTGACCCATGGGGATGGAGAAACAGAAACCTGAGAAGGGACGGGGACCCAGAGGGTAGAGCCAGGGAAAGGACGCAAGCAGGAGGTAGCCGGAGAAGGCAAGAGCTGACTGCAGACACAAACTCCGAGCCACACACACAAAGACGCGGAGCAGAGCAAGGCCTGGGCCATGGGGTGGAGACAAGAGAAAGTGAAGTTTCTTCACCTCACCCCTGCACTGACTGCATTTGCTTCTGGAAAGTTGCCTACTTTGTGGCACTGGGGACTGGCCAGAGCCATCCTCCAGCTGGTCCTGCCCATCCCTCGGGGGCCAATTTACCCTCTCCACCCGCCTCCCCTGCCCTCCTCCTCACCTGCACGGAAGAGGCCGACTGCTTGCTGTCATTGTTGCCAGGGGAACTCAGGCCCGAGGCCTGCTGCAGCAGGAACTGCCTGGCCACCTGGAGAGCCTGCAAGAGAGGGGACAGTGGGCTGTCAGGACAGGGCCTACCTGCTCCAACAAAGGCCTGGAGGGCCTGGAGGGGGCAGTGCGAGATCGGAAGGCTCAGGGAGAATCGGGGCAGTAAGGGGGAGGAAGCCAGGCTAAGGTGGAAGGTTCTGGGGGTGATGAGAGGGTCACAGGGGCACTTGGACTTGCCCTTAAGCCTATAGGTAGGAGTCCCTGAGAGGAGCTGCCAGGGTATGGGGATCAGAGCTTATACGGGCCTCACTCTGGGACCTGAGAGGTTTTGTTGGGCCTCAATGGGGACAGCAAACAGAAGGGACAGTGGCCACAAAAGGATCCCAGTGGAAAGCACAACAGAGGGACTCCAGGTACTAATACTAGGTAGTACTTGCTGAGCCTCTACTCCATGTCAGGCCCTTTACATGCAAGATCTCACTGAATCCTTCCTGTGAGGCTATGAGGTAGGGATTATCAGTTCCATTCTACAGCTAAAGAAACAAAGTCTCCAGGAGGTGAATAATCTGCCCAGGATCCCAGAAGCCTCAGCCAGGTGGCCAGTCTGGACTGGAAGGAAGTAGCACTCACTTGGGGTCACTGCACCCAGCTGAGGGGGATCAGGGCGGAGTCTCAGGTTCTGAGCATGGTGTGACCTTCTGAGTCCAGGGATCTGGGTGCAGGGCCTGGTGGTATGGAGGAATTTGGTCAAGTCCTCAAGGGTGTGTCTGAACTTCCATCGAGTAGCTCTGACCTCAGTGTGGTGGTCCGGGCTCAGGCCCCTGTGGCTTGGACTGGACTGGGAGTTGGCAGGGTCATAGCAGTGGGAAATGCATGGACTTTGCAGAGGGAGCAGCTCTGGCCCATCCCTGAGCCTGGAAGGTGAGCAGTGAGAGGTCTGGTGGGAGGGTGGGGGGCTCAGGGAGGGAGGCCCAGGAAGTTCTCTGTAAGGATGGTCAAGCCCTCCATTGCCCCACTCTGGATCAGTGCAGGGTTCAGAGGCAGGGAACATGGGGACCTGTCCTGAATCCACATTCCAGGAGCACAACACCTGTCTTCCCTCATGCTCCCCAGACAGTTGTGTCCAGGCCTCTGACCGGGACTCTGGCATCAGACAGACCTGGGTTTGAATCCCAGCTGTGGCACTGCCCAGCAGTATGACTGGTGTGGGCACGTTACACTGTCTTTGTGCTTCAGTCTTTTGCAAACCCGGGATACCATCCATCTCTGAAACTCCAGGGGGACAAAAGGACCCAAGCTGGGCACCAAGGCGGTCTCGTGAAGGGTCCGTTCCCTTCCCTTCTCAGGAATGTGGGTTGTCCCCCTCAGCTCAGTGAGCCAGCAGCCAGCATGGCCTCCTGCCCAGCATGCCTGCATAACGACACTTGCTCACTGCGGCCCCTCACCTCTGTCCACGCACACATACTTGTGTTTGTCCTCATGTGGACTTCTGCTCTCTGACCTCGTCATGTGCACCAACAAGGCAAAACCTTATGTGACACGCTCATACACACTCACTGCCCGGCAAACGCTCCCGAGTACTCACTGCATGTTCACACATGCCCTTCGAAGCCCCTTCCTTACGGCCACTGAACAGCTGAGCCGCCCCCAGCCTTGAACCTAGCTTCTCTTAGCACGGTCTCTAAACACTCACTGGTGTATCTAGTGGCCCCCAGCATACCTGGAGCTCACATGAGTGCGCCCCTCACCAGCCCCCCCCACCGATCCCAGGCCTTCCCCAGCCCCTCTCTTCCCCTGGACAAGTGGCCTGGGGTTTCTTCGGCACGATTCACTTCAGAAAGTAGAACTCTGACCTCTTGGAGTCAAAAGGCTCTGAGAAGCTATGGAAAGGGGATGGGGGGTGCGGTGCAGGAAGGAAGGGAGGTGGCCACGTGGTCATTGGGAAGGAGCCCGGCCTCTTGGTGCCTGAGTGATCCCCTCCAGGTCTAATGAGTCAGACACATGCTCTCTGTCAAAAAGGTGGAGGTGGGGTAGAGAGGTAGGGGGCCAGAGGTCAGGGGGCGAGTTGGAGGAAGAGAAAGCCTTGGAGAAGCCGGCTGGCCTAGGTGACCCAGAGGGGAAACACAGGGGAGGGGTTTCCAGAGGAAGTTGGGGCGGTGGGCCGGGGAGCTGGGTTCACTCCCCACAGACTCTCTTACTTTGTGGTCCCCTGGAGCACGAAATTACAAGATTTACAGGAAACAACGACAGGCCTTATGGTCTTCATCTGCGATGGACCCTTCACTCACCCTCCTGCCCTCCTCCCACTCCGGGCCTTTCCTCCCCTGCAGGCCAAGAGACAGTTGCCCAGCCAAGGCTGGACCCTCCTGGGATTGCCTCCACTCACATCCTCCTTCACGTTACTGGGCCACTGCTGTACTCGAGGGGCTGTGCTGGGTGCCAAGACACAGACACACAGAACCTGGCCTGCCCTAGGACTTACAGCTATGGAGCTGCAAGGACAGTCGCCCATCAGAGCCGGGGTGGAGGTGAGCACCGGGCCCTAGAGCCCAGAGAAGGTGGCGGCACTCGCTGCCCCTGACCGGAGTTCTGAGGGGCGAGGTCCTCAGCTGGAACGGGAGGCTGAAGTGTGTTCCTGGCACAGTGACCCCCACTGTGCAGAGGAATGAAATCGCCCAGCAAGTCCAGGCACCCTGAAACCATTCCCGGGCAGCAGGAGAGGCTGGAGGAGTCCCAGGGCCCTGTGGGCACTTCATTCATTCATTCATTCATTCACTTACTCACATGCATGACTACCCACCATGCACAGGCCCTATGCTTAGAGGCGACAGAGAGGTGATGGTGCATAACCCAAGGTCATTTCGTGTCATTTGCTTAGTGCTCAGCCCTGACCCAATTTAGAATGGTTTGGGTACCACTGAAAAATCACGCCATGGGTGCCCAGGGCAAGGGCAATGGGCAGACCCTGGACCTGAGGTCCAAGATCCCTTCTCCAGATGGCCTGGACAGGACCCTGTCCACTCGACGTACTCCAGTGCTGCTCCATGCCCCACGCCACACCACTGTCCATGGCTGGGGACAGCACTCTGGGAGTGAGAGGGTCCCTCTGGTCCAGGATGCCCTCCTCCAGGGCGGTCACCCAAGGGAGCAGGTAGGCTGAAGACTTCCTGAAGCCCCACCGAAGTCCCATCCAGCACTCCCAACACGCCAGACCTCATCTACGCTGGCTGCTGGTCCTGGGGCCTGACTGTATAGCCAGGCTGCCCGCTGCTGAGAGACGTGGGGGATGACGGCCCCTACCCCAGCACAGCCAGCTCCACTTTCTCTGATGATGCCGACCAGGTCACAGCCCCCTTGAAAACACAGATGTTGGCAAATGCACCCGTGAACCACCTCCCCGGCCAGCAGCAGACGGTGGACACATCTGTGCAATTCACTTTGGTCCAGGCTGGACAGGGGCGGCAGGCCAAGGGACAGAGTTCAAGAGCTGGCGTTTGTAGAGGACTACATCTGATTGAAGCCTCATCACCTTGAGCGAGGCAGGACTTGTGTCACGGTCTCCATCCTCCAGACAAGGAAGGAAACTGAGACCCAAGTTTCCATGGGCAGGAAATGGAGTCCGCACACCTCTGGCTGCCCAGTGCCCCTGACCCCTGCAGGGCCTTCAGGAGCTTGTGCACGGTCCCTCAAAGCCTAGGAGTCTGCTCTCCCCCGAGCCTGGGTGCTTCCAACTATCTAGGGGTGAAGGGGAGGTAAGGCTGGTGCAGGCAGGTAGACAAGAACCAACATAGGAACCTTCGGAAAGCTGGCCCCATGTCCCTTCCCTGAGGGCCAGAGATACCCAAATACAGCCTGGGGTGGGAAAAGGCGTTTAGAATCCCACACCAAGGAGAAGCCATCATTGCAAACCCTGGGGCGGGGTGTGTGCTCAGGGCAGAATGGAAAACTGGGAGTCATCCGGCCTCTTCAATCCCCTCTCTCCACCCCTTGGACTCAAAGCCTCATCCCCAGCTCTGTGGTTTAGGGGATAAGGTCCAGTTTTCCTTCAAAAGAAGCAGTACTAGGCCATTCAGTTTATAGACCCTGGTCAGGGATCTGGATCCAAATCCTGGCTCCACCATACACTGTGTGACCTAGGTAAGTCACTTTACCTCTCTGACCCTCAGTTTCTTCCTCTGCGAAATAGGCATAACCCTGCCCTTAGTCCCCAGGGCTGCTGTGAAGAGTACACGAGGCCCATGGAGTACTTAGCATAGTGCCAGGCACCCAGTGGGTCCAGAAGGGACACCAACTTTTGTCTTTACTGTTCACCAGCCACCTTTTGTCATTTGTTAGTGCCACCTGGGAGGACCCACTCACCAAAACCTCCCTCAGCCTCCACGCCCCACCTCTCCCCCTCCAGCTCCAGAAATGTCTTGCTAATGAAGGCGAACTCTCCCCCTCACCAACCCCCCACCTCCCCGCCACCCCCGCGTCAGAAGTCATTAGCAGGATCTCCACAATTAGGAACAAATGGCTTATAACGGATGGCGTCCAGGGAGGGCGGTCAGGATGGAGGGGAATGAAGCCAGAGCTTGGAGGGCAACTGCTATGAGGAGAAAAACAAGTCTTGGAGCAGGAGGGTCTCCTGTCCGCGGGGTGAGATCACACTCTCATTTCTGTCTCTGAGAATTCAGCGGGGAGAGACCGGCATCCTCTCAATGGAGGCCAGGTGCAGGGCTGCTTACTGGTCCTTTCTGTGGCCTGAGGATTGGGAGGGCAGGGATGTGGTGCTCAGGGGCCAGCTTGAAAGGGCTGACCTTGGAGAGTGGAGCAGCAGAACCCCACAGACCCGGTGAGCTCCAAGTGTTGGAGGGCATCTAGTCTCCTGTTTTCTAAATTGCTGGTCATGATCTAGTGGTGGGTCATAATAGAAATTTAGTAGGTCAAAAAAATGGGAAAACACACACACACTCACATATAAGGAAGCATCAGAGGTATTAGGTAAGCAGAAGCATTGTTTCAAGAAACTGTGCGCTAGGGCTCCAAGAAAATGTATCCTTTAGGATG